GTTATAAATGCAAGTTTTAATTCAGATTTGTGCATTTTCCTCTTAGATTTCAGCGACATGATTTAAATATTAGAGACCAATGAGCATGGTTTTCCTAGTAAAAGGAGAAAGAATGGCAACAGAACAGGCACTGAATGACATCATCAACCAGATTTAGACTATTCTAAAACATTTTAAAGACTTTCTTGAAACTTTAATGGCTCAAATATTTTTGTGAAAACTTTAATCGACTTATTTACTAGTTAAATCAATGGTTGAAATCATAATAAAACATACAATATGAAATACAAATCAACAAGCCAAACAGAAATTAGAGCACAAATGCACAAAATAAATGAGACTGATGGTTTTCGTGGATCTTGTTGATATGTTTTCATTTTATGAATCGATATTTTTAGTCTTTATTGAGGGTATGGGTATGGATGAGAGAGAGTATCGATCCATCAACACATCCAAACAACATCTATACTCACACCCAAGACAATGATAAGATCGTATTTTGAATGTGTGCAAGTAAATCAGCATATACTTTTTTTGGATTCGATTCATTTATGAATGCTTGTTCAAATTGACGCCGTTGTTCAATACTCGTTAACTAAAATAAGTAAAATAGATTTTTTTTTCATACAATTAATATTTGGAGTTTTTCTTTTGTCTCTTTTATAATATCTGCAGATAATATTCTCGACCAGCAATGAGAAATAAACGATTGTCTAATTCTTCAAAATGATCACTGAAACGTGATAACATCAATGAAAACCTAAAAAGTAAAAGATATACGATATTATCTATGAAAATTCATTTTGACATTTCATGGCGAAATTTCTTGATTTTGTATTGATCGTTATTCCTTCGGATTGCAACAAAGAGTTTTTTTTCATTAATATTTTACTATTTATCTTTTTCAAATAAATTTTTATCGTACGTGTAAGTCTTGATCATTTTTAAAAAGAAAACTAGGAAGAATATTTTACCATAGATGAAAAAAATAGCTCATCCAACAGTCCAAATCCGACTTCACTATTAAATCATCAGTATGAAATTTCAATACAAATTTTTTTTTCTTTAAAGATTAATATAAAGAACTAAGAAAAAAAATCAGCAAGGATAAATGATTTAAGTGAATACTTACAATGCATCAGCAATTCTATGTGATAGACATGCACTTAACGTAAGACAAGTTAACCCCCATATAGCCATACCTATTGATTTTCTTTGTGCAATATTTGTCATTGATAATAAAGTCCATTCATTAACTACAGCTGAATAACGTACATTAATTAAAGCACGAAAAAAAAGCAAAAACTGTATATGCAAGTATTTGAGAATATAATTTTTGTGTTGATGCAACAAATTCTAAAACCATTTTATTCATTAAACGATCCGATAAACTAATGTGTGCAAGTAATAATGATAAAGGACGTAATAAAAGTAAAGCTTCATATGGTAATGTTGATGATTGTTTAGTATGTTCATATAATTCTGCAATAAGTACAATAAGAATATTATCTGATGAACTATCAATCATTTCTTGTTCTTCATTCACATGTTCATTATTTAATGAATTTGTATTTTCATTTGGTAGTTGTAATAATGTATAAATACGTGCACGTATTTCATATAAACGCCATATATCATTTTTAGGATATTGACCAACTATTAAAAGTCTTTCAAGACTAATTGATATAATTTTTTTTGTGTTAAATTATCATCTTTAATTAATGATAATAAAATATCATATGAATATAAATTATTATTTTATATATCATTATTTAATTCTTGTTTTATTATTGGAATTAATAATTTATTTAAATCATCTTTATTATTAATTTATAATTATGTTCAATTAATTGTATATATAATTCATTATATTCTTTTGTTTTTTGTTCAATTAATATACTAGATTTACATAAATTATAACTTATTCATTAAACCATCTACGAAAATATTCATCACATAAATCATATAAATTTGATAAATGTCGTGATGATGGAAATAAATCAGATAGATATATAAATGAACTTATTAATTCATATTACATAAATTTCAATTAGAATTTGTAAAGATGATGTTAAATTAAAACCATGATGAAAAAATAAGCGATCAAATAAACTCTAAATTATATATATTTTAAAAGTGGATACCAGCGAAGAAAATGTTCATACTCTAATTTTTTGATTGATAGAATATATTTGAAATTATTGATATAAGCCAAATCAAAGCCAGAGAAACACTAGATTTTTTGTTTGATGAAATTAATAATTTAGCAATAAATTTATCTTTCTCTTAAACTTAGAGTTCTGTATACACTTATGTTGAATATTCAATATTAACAAAACTGATAATGGTAATGTATTATTACTTTGAATTGATGTTAATATAGTATCATATGAAAGTTGTTCATAGGATAATAAATCACGTGTACCTAACCGTTCAATATTTGTAAATAAATTCTTTGAACTTGTATCTAATGTTGAACGTGTTTGCATTTATTGACCACCGATAAAAAAAGAACAGATAAAATCTAGTTTATTTTTTAATCTTGTTACTATTGTATTGCATTTATTTCTAAAGTTTCTTCTTTTTTTTTAAAAATTATTTGTTGTTTGTTTATTTTCATCATTAGATTGATTTATGGTGGATTAATTGAAGCTAAAAATGAAGTCTATATTTCTTGAAATTGTATTCTTGATAATCAACCAACTTCAAAATTGTCTTGATATATGTATACATGAATTAAATATTGGTAAACAAAAATAATAATATAGCTATGCAACGTAAATCATGTCAATAAATATATGATATATATATTTATATAAATTATTTCTGATATAAACATAATAAATCATGTATATCACCTGTTGAAAATTGACATGTTAATTCAACATGATTTTGTATTTTATCAAAATATATTGATATAGAATCTATTAATGCAATTGAATATGGTTGATTATTAGAGCATGATAAAAGACTTTTTACATAAATTATATTAGGTGTTGTTTCAATGTCATTTTAATTTGTTTCATTTGATATAACTATACAAAATCCTAGGAAAACAAAAAAGGAACAAATTTATATTGTTTTTTATTTTCTCAAATCAATTTTCATTTACTATAAGAATCATCCTAAAAATTTTATGCTATGGAAAAAAGCCAATACGTTTTCGGAGTTCACGAGTTCAAACTTATAGAAAGTTTATCGAAATTCTCGAATGCAATTTATTTCGAAATATTATTTTCGGTTGCAAATAAATAACACAATCGAAAACATCTTACGAAATATAATATTAGAAAGACGTCATTTTCTTTAATTGTAACAGTACAAATAACACGACTGAGAATTTGATCAATAAGATTCGAGAGAAATTATTCGGTCATTGTACTAATGTAGCTTAAATGCTTTCCTTTACGATTTGTATTACCTGAAATTCTGCATATTTTCTATTTCAAAATATTTTTCGAAATTTTGAATTATTCAAAAGTCTCATCCATTACTAGCACATAAACAATATCAAAGTAAAAAGAAAAATTTCTTTTAATTGGATTAAAAGTTTTATTATACATATATATTTATTTCGATCAAATTAAACTAATACATACCGGTGACATCATAAATGGTAATCCTGTTTTATAAGTTACATTTTTAAGCATTTGTGCATAAATTTTTCTTGTTATATCCATAAGAGAATTAAGATTATTAAAATCTTCTGTAATAATATCAATTGATATTGTTATTGATAATATTTATAAAATTCATGTATATATTTAGGTCATAATTGTTTATTTAATGGTAATGGAAGAAATTGTTCAATTGATAAAACTAATAGAAGACCATTTTCATCTAAATCTATTCCTTCACAAAAAAAAAATAAATGACTTGCAACTGATGTATGATGTATAAGATCAAATAAAAAATAATAATAATAATTGATAATGTGTTGTTATTGATGTAAAATATTCAACATATAATTCATGATGATATATTAAATCACAATAAGATTGTAATTGACCACTGATAGATAAATGTATTCTTAATGATGATGGTGTTAATATCGGTGACCAGCATGCTTCTTGTGTATAATCAAGTATATTCAGAATGGGTCCATTGTAATAATAATGATATATAAAATGATAATCATAATAATTTAAAACATTCACTTAAAATAGTCAAAAAATGAAAATGTCTCAAGACAATGTACAGTTTTATCATGAATTCATAATTGATGAAAATTATTTACAATTGTTCGAAATTATTTAGCTAAAATAAAATCATAGATCTTATATAAGCATAGAAATTTTAAAGTCAAATGTTTTTCGCTAGGTCATTAGTAATTAATGAATTGCAGGAAAGTTTTATCTTCAAATTAATGGGTAATATGTTACTATCATATAGATTATGATGAAAGCTGAAGCTCTTTTGACTTTGATAGAAACCAGTTTTTATCTGTTCAGTTAGTCCATAATATACATCAGTATATAAAGATAATTGGATGCAAGAGAAACTAATGTCATATCGATTTGATCACGTAATTGCCGAGTATTATTTAAAATTCGAAGAAGAGTTCTGAAAACAAAAACGAGAATAATACTTGTTAAATTATAAATAAAATCATTTCGAATACGTATGCACTAAAAGTTTCATCTCATGTTCCATTAACTGATAATAAAACATCATTCTATCGTGTTAATATAGCATCTTCAGTTAAATTTTGTACAAGACATTGAAGTATTATATTTATATTGATTAATTATCGATTTGTAGATTGACAATTGACATTCTAAAAAAAGGTTTTGAACCACAGGAAAATTTTATAAATAAAAACAACGGACATTTCTATTTACGAATGCTCGAAAAGCAATAACAAATGGATCAATTGATCGTAATGCAACTGATGAGACAACATCAAATAGTGTTAATTGTGTGGAATAAATATTCAAAAGTGATTGATCCTATTTGAACAAAAAAAAAAATAACGCAAAATCAGAGACTATTAAAACAAAAAAATAACCTGAGATTGTAAATGAGCAAGAAGTGCGTCGACAATTTGTCGTGAACGACGTTTCCATTTATCATCTTCAATTTGAACACTATTAACAATAACTGTGAACAATCGTAAATCCTATAACAATATAAATTCTATTATTATTTTTTCAGTAAATACACATGATATGAAAAGATACTTGTATTTTTTAATAATTAAGACGCCCAGTTTTCCTTCAAACTCAAATACATAACTAAAGATTACTGTCTCTAAATCTTGTTGAGTTCTGGACATCAACAAGATGATTATTTTCAGATCATCGATTCGTTGAAGTGTGGGTGTGGGTTCAATCGAGGAGAAAAATTACATCTACACATTCACACCCTCGAAAATGTTTTTTTTGCTTCCTACCATGTGTTTCAGATTCATGTCCACTTGCTAATAATGAATCATAATGTTTTATTAAATCTTGTACTTTAATAACTTGTTTTGAATGAAGTGTGTCATGTGATAACATAACAAGAAATTCAGCAATACAATAAATAAAATGCTATTTAAAAATAAACGAAACGATTAGAAATGCAACGAATGTCATCAGCTTCTAATTAATCATAATTAACACGAATTAAAAGTAATTGAACAAGTAAATTGAGTACAGCAGCTTGA